TAAAAAGTGGGTTTTTTTGTTTGTTTTGTTTTTTTGTTTGTCTTTTTGAGGTCAGGTCACTATGTATTTCAGGCTGCCTTGAATGCACTCTGTAGCCCAGGCCTCAAATTCACAGTGCTCCTCCTGCTTCAGTCTCCCAAGTGCTGGGATTACACATGTGCACCACCACACCTGGCCATTTAATTTTATTTTTTTAATTTTGAGTCAAGATCTCATAAACTGCCTAGGCTGGGCAATCCCCCATGTATAGGCTTCCCAAGAATGCCAGGATCACAGAAGTATGCTCAGCTATTCTTTTTATAATCTTATAATCTTAATAAGAAAATGTAACTGAGTAAAGGCTGCAGTTCCTTATCTGAATACCTCACTGGCTTTCCCCTCCAATTCTATGCTTAGCCCGGAATCTTTGGTTCTGCTGTCAGTGGGATCAGGAAAGGCTCTCTTCCCTGCAGTTTGTCAAGGAGTAATAACCACAGACCATTAAACATCCAACACGTCACTGAAACTCTTCTAAGACTGTGAAGAAGGATTAGTTTAGCAAATAGAGTACTGAAAATTTAACATCTGAAAAAAATCTTTATAACACTGTATAGCTATTACACACCTCATTTATCACATAAACAAGTTACCTCAGGGAAAAGGTAATTTTTTTGTTTGCCAATAAGGAAATGGGTGAGGATCGTATCTACGTTGGGGAATAAAGCATAGCTGATCTAGAAGCTTACTTTGTGGATGCCAAAGTACACTTCAGAATTCCAGAGAATCAGTCTGGTTAACTACTAAAGTGTTGACAGAGGACACTTTTGGAATTGACACTAGAGGAGAAATAACTACCTAAGACATTACTTGTCCTTTAGGACTCTTTTCCCTCATTCACAATCCTCAATAGATCTGTTGATCTGTTTTACAGTGAGACAGGGTCTCACTGTGTAGTGCAGATTGGACTTGAACTCACTAGGTACCCCAGGCAGGCTGAGAATTCACTAGGCTCCTCCTGCCTCAGTCTCCCAAGTGCTTACATCACAAGTGTGTGCCACCAAACCCAGCTCACATGTCCCCATTCCTAAGGGATTTCTGTAAATCCTAACCTGATCCAGGCACAGCTGACAACCTGCCTCGGTAATCCAATAACTCCCCTGGGCTTGCAAACCACCACCATCATCATCATCATCATCATCATCATCAATACTTTATCTTTACAATCAAGGGTCTTATTCCTACTGGATTCTGTTTATTCTCCCTGCCACTACAGTACTTTCCATAATTTGTTAAATGTTGCAACTATTTTCTGAATGTTCATCTGTTACTGACACCGGATTCATCAACAGCTCTTCAGGTCCTCACATCCAAAGAAACTCTGTTTGCTAAGACTCTGTCCAGTATGAGTCCCTATAGAATGCATTAGACTCTGTCATCAGCAGCTCCTGTTTCTCTCCAGAACATGTGCTAGGAAGGCATTTCTTCATTCCTTTGTTCTGGAACGGACCAATGACTAGCATTAGTCAATGGGTTAGGAGGGAAGTTGCCCACTTTTGGCCAGAACATTTCAGGCTTTCAGGCTCTCTTTCCTGTCTTGGAGGCTGACAATTTTCCCCATAGGAACTGCTCTATCAGAACATACTCCAGTGTAGCTATAAACAGAACGCTCCTGTTGATCAGTGGTAGACAAATACCACAGCAGGAATTACCAGTGTTATGTTAAGTTGCTGCATATTTAAGGTGCTGGTTACTGCAGAATATGCTATCATGACTTGATGTCATACTCAGTATCTTCACACATATTATTGCTAACTGACGTTCACACTAGTCTTTAGGTATGGCAGATACGGACAACATTCCATAAATGAAGTTTTGAGAAGCAGAGAATCTGCACAAGGTCCTTTAGTTTTATGCATTGTTTAACTCAGCAAATACTAGTTGAATTCTGTATGACATACAGTGTGCTAGGCAGTCATGAGATAGCAGGAAACATAAGAGCAAAAGATTCCTGTTCTCAGAGTTTAAATTCTAGTGAAGAGAGACAAACAAAAACCACTTACAACTGAGACCATTCAAGGGCTGATATGTAGCTCACAGTTAGAGGATTTGGCTAGTATGCATGAAGTAAGGCCCTCAGTCTGAGGGTGAACACACACACACACACACACACACACACACACACACACACACACCACAAACCTTAGGCAGACAGTGATGAGATACACTGAGAGAAATAAAGTCAAGTAGTACAGCGAGGGAAAACATGGGTGGCTATTTATACTGACAAATAAAAGCCTCTCTGAGTCACTGTTAGCTGCTTCTAGGCGAAGATCTAAATCTTAAGAGCAAGCCTTCTACGTAAATATCAAGACAAAAAGACTTCCGAGAAGGGGCAACAGTGCATGCAAAGAAACGAGGAAGAAGAAATGTTTTAAATGGAGAAGACAAGTTGCAGGGTCATCGTCTTGTAATGATAAAAAGCAAAATGGTACAAGAGAGAGGCAGAGACGCAGAAGAGAGGAATCACTTGGTGCTATACGTCAAAATAATAAAGTAAGGATTTGATTTCCTGTGTGGTGAGACATGTGTCAGTGTCTCAAGCATTTGTGTGATTTCTAATTTTTAAAAGGTTGCTCCGACTGCTATGTGAAGAATGGAATATAGTGGAGTCGGACTAGAGTGGAGACAACTGCAGAAGTCCTCTAGGGTGATAATAGGAGACATGGAAAGAAGTGGACAGGATGAGAAGCACAATCAACAAGGCGGATGACACAGCAATCAAATCTGTCCACGAGGGAGGAAGAGTAATCAAGCAGAACCCTTGGACTCCCATTTAAACTGGGCAGATGGTACCTTCATTTGCTGAGATGGGAAGAGTTTTAAGAGAAGATTTGCATATGTGGGAAGAAATTAAAGTATCTGTCCTACACATAGTCCATATGAAATGCTTCCTTACACAACTGTATGTAGACATCAAGCTGAATCTATGATTCAGAAGCTCCAGAGAAAGATGGGAGCTGGAAAGAGAAATTCAGGTGTTAGCAACAGTGGAATCCTACTCAAATCAAAAGATTTACAACAGCACATTAAAAATACAGGTGACAAAGAGCAGGAGTCATGTCAACGTGCTCCCTCTTGGGTGGAGGAGTGTGTACCCCTCATTAAGGGGAAAGGGAATTTACCACAGATCTCAGAGTCTGGAGGGAGGTTCTGTTGTTGTTGTTTTGGTTCCTGTGTCCTGGCACTGGGAATCGAACTCACAACCTAGCACTCGCCAGGCAGGTGCTCTGCTGCTAGCTGTCTCCCAGCCCAACATTCCTGTTGTAAAAAGTCCTCTCCTCCCTGTTTCCCTTGGGTCTTCTTCACCTGTGCTGTCCCAGCACCCAGCCTCTCGCTCTCTGACTGGCCCCCATCTTGTATGCCCTCTCCCCAGATTTTCCTCACCGTTGTGATTTCTAACTCTTTCTATTTCCTCCTAGGCAAATACACCTACATGATCAACAAAACAAAAAGCTGTGTGATGCTGGTTTTTTCCCCCCACAGAGCTATTTATTCTTTTCCAGTGAAGAAGGGGTGCTTGGCTACCTTGCAGGATCCATGCTTTTGTCTTTTATTCCAAACAGCACATTTCACTTCCTAAAATAATGCTGGAGCCAGCTCCTCAGATAACACGTTTCCCATCCTGTTCCACACACAGACTACCAGGTGGAGACCTGCCTTTCCCAGGAGTTTGATAAGTACACAGGGTTTCCCACCGCCTTCAGCAAGGTCACAAGAGCAGGGGTGGCACACTGAAGTCACCTCAGCCTGCCTTCATCTCATTTAATGAGGCTCATGATGTGGAGCTATTGTTCGGGGAGACAGTCGGCAGCTTTGTGTCATCTTGGGGTTAAGCTGAGTTATGAGCTTCATTTACTAGTGAGAAGAGTGACAGTCACCAGTAACCACACAGGTTTTTACAACATGTTTGTTTACTGGTCCCATGGAAATTTAGCCCTTAGGATGTCTCTCATGTTTTCCTAACGGTCTTAACAGCACTATAGAGAAGAGAGGGAGATGACAGCTGTCCTCACGTAACCTCAGAATCCTGCTCTCTCTGAGCTTTCCCATCCTTTCCCTAAACAGCAGCAACTTTGAACACACAACAGGAAACATCAAAAGAATCATGTATGATTCTTTGACTTCTCCAACTTTCTATGTTTCTGCAAAGATCATTCAGAGAAAGAAATTAGGTGGCACCACATTCCCAGGGAAGAACACAGTTTCATATGACAGTGCTAAGACAGAAAGAGTCAGGAGTCGGGTAAATACCTTCAAAAGAACCCCAAATTATATTACTTTACAGTGCTAATGAGCATTTAAATATATTTGACCCAAGCAAAGAAAGACCTGCAATCTTCTACTACCCTTAACCAACATCAGGTTGATATCTGCAGATACATGACTGGGAAGACATTGGAACAAAAAAGCAAATGCCCGCCAAGACCTCCTGTGTTCACAGAGTGCTCCAGGTCAGTCTAAGCTCAGTGACAGAAGAAGAAGAGGTGGGAAATGACAGCAAGAAAATATAAAGCAGCATAATCTTGCGTGGCTCCCACATGCCTGATATGTGACCAACAAGCACTCTTGCCGCCTACTTCAAGGTACCACTTATCTTTCTCAAAGTTCATTTCTCACACAGAAAAACATTTAATTATAATGGAAGGAAAATGTTTGAATCTTTCCACTTTTTGAACTGATATCTCTAAGCTCCTCAGTGTTACCACAGGCAGCTAGGACTTCAGTTTCACTGCACCCCCAGACATGTACACACACAGGTACACAGGCGGAAATACTGGGTGTGGAAATCTGTTATGCAGACAAACATTCTCATACTATTAGTTCCTTTTCAGAATGCGAGGGTGAAATTATGGAAGAGAATTATTTAAGTAAAAGTATTTTTGTATACTAGGTGCTAGTGTAACAACACAGACATGGTGCAGAGCAGGGATGAATTAGAAAACGTTGTTTGTTGCACTCACCTGTGCAAGAGAAGTCATCTACACGAATGTAACCCGGGATACAGTCACAGCGATATAAGCCTGGAAGGTTGACACACACAGTATTGGCATGACAGTAATGCATCTTAGCAGTGCATTCATCAATATCTGGAAGGGAAAAAAAAGAAACAATATCTGTTTAGTCAAGTAACTGAACCACAGTGTGATCATCTTACAGTGAAATTACAAAAGGCGAATGCTCACTGAAGAGGAAAAAAGAGACACAGTAAAACCGAAACCCAAGCACAAATTAAGTGATGCATTAGATCCTATCCTGAGTGAAAAGTACTTCTAGGAAAATGTGTGTGAGATGTAACAGGGAAGAGTCCAAGAAGGATGAAGACAAAATCAGTTATTCATCTCTCGCCAAGGAGGTGATTGTGCTTAAACGTTCAAAATCAAGGAGTTCTGCATCCCATGAGTTGATACCAATTAATATTTATTGGGCATCTACAGTACATGGGAAGCCTTTATCAGACATATCAAGGGAATCTAGCCCTTCTCTGCTCATGTGTTGAACTAAGACATGCTCTAATCCATCTGTTACAAAATGATGCTGCAGCCAGTTCTTCCTCTGTTGTGAACAGACAGCAGCTGTGTCTGAGGCAAATCAGTGCCTTTCATCCTCCAATCTGGGGTCCCAGCCCTTGTGATAGAATAACAGGCTGAATCCAAAAAACTACTATTCTCTTTGGCACAGAGGCCAGAGTACCATCTTCTTTTTTTCATAAGAGTTTATGATACAAACTGACATAACTTTCAACTTTAAGTCGAGAGAATATTTTTCTGGAAATTAATGTGTTCAAAAATGGATTTAGGTTCATTTTATTCAAATTGCTGATAAAAGATGGAGACAGAGGCAGATTATAGCTGGGAATCCAAGATGGGAAATATGAGCTCTGTTTGTGGATCCACTATTCAATGGCCAATGACTTGCATTTACTCTGTGGAACCCGGGATCCCCATCAGTTTGATCTAAGGATCAGTTCTGTTTCTAAGGTGTGTGTCTTTGAAGACATCATCCAACTTGATACACATGAAAATCCTTGAACAAACTAAAAACACCTGTAAGTTTTAGCAAATCACTGTTCAGAGAACTTAAATACCTGATGCAAAATCAGCCACCACACTCAGATTGCTGTACTTTGTGTTTGAACTCATAGACCAGTATCTTATTCACTATGATTTACTTCAAATCACTCCCTAAAAATGGCAATTACTCAATAGTGTTTCAATGAAGATAATCACCGATGTCCTACGACCCTTAATACACAGAAACTAAGGATAAAAATGACTATATTGGGTCATTAGAAAACTCATAAATCTATTTATTTTTAAGAGAAAAGTACATTGATTTATTTCCTAATAAAACACGCTGATATAACAGCAGACCATTTTCAGGGTAAAAGATTTGTAGGGCTATAAATAAAAACTACTGTTGTGTCATTGAGATCTTAAAAAGAGACCCGCAGTTAGCAAGAGTCTTGTAACCATGATATGAGACACAACACTAGAAATTGATGACAGGACTCAGGTAATCAACAACTTCCTATGCTGGTCTCCATCTCACAGTTGAGTCCAGGGGACCCAACCCAGAGCCAGAATCCTGAGGGAAGCAAGGAATTACTGCAGTGATGGTGCTAGAACACACAAGCTAAAAGATGGAATCACAGAGTATTAAGATTAAGGGACAGAGAAGGGCAGAAAGAATGAAGTACTGGGAGTGACAGTTTGGATATCCAGGAGGAGTCAGGTGTTGGGAAAGTTTGGTCTGGATTACTGATGTCCATAACATCTCACCCATTTTCAGAGAACACAAGTGAACCCCTCCACTCTCTTTTAATAAAAGCCTGACCATATGACTGAGCATGGAATCTGAGCACAGGCACTCAGGTATCACTTCTAGATAGAAAGGTCAGAGCCAACATCTGGCTTAGCACATTTTCCTATCCCTGTGTTCCACACCACAGAAGTGCAGAGTTGAATAGTCCTTCCTGCTGAGGCTCTAGGTGAGAAACAGGCCACCAGGCCGGACTGATGAACTTGTTATATAACCTAGAAATGTATTCTTGTGGAGTTAAGCCATTGAGCCCCCTCTTACTACTACAAACGTAACTATGAAAGGCAACTCAAAAAGAAAAAAAAAAAAAAAGATCACAAAGATTGATCCAAAAATGTGAATCAGAATTCACCAAGTAGAGAATGAGATGGGTACCCAGAAGGACACTTTGGAGACTAATTTTTTCTTTGTAGATTTAGGAAAAGGGAGAATCACTTAATCATGACTCCCAAAGAATATTAGTGAAGCTCCTACCAAGTCCAGAGGCAATGTGATGAACAAAATGCCATCCTAGTTTTTAATTGCCTAACAAGTTATTAAAACAAACCTACAACAATTTCAAGCAAGGACATGGCACACTTTAACAAGGGGATTTGACCTCCAGGAGAGTCAGAGACAATTTGCTATGGAAATGATGCTCCATCTATGATCTGAAATAGAAGTGAAACAGAGAAAGGGGAGAGAAACAACACAGCAAACAGAGAAGAACGTTCCAGAAGACTGGTTACAGGCAGGAGCTGTGCCTGTTTGAGATGTAACTTGAAAGACAAGCTCAAGACACAGGTCCTGGTGGCTACGTGTAGAAGCCCAAACTTTCATCAGGCCAGGAACACAATCTAATTTCTGTTTTTAAAGTATCACTCCACCTGCAGTGAGGCGAATGGATTGAGCAGCACATGCTAAAGGATAAATTATGTTGGTCTTTCACTCACAGGAACACAGTCACACACGGGTCTGCCTTGCACTGCTGAGGGGCCCAGCCATTCTTCAAGATGAGAACCTAGGCAGGTCTTGCCTTGAAGGCAATTCAGTCTTCACCCATAGGCCACAACTGGTGAGCAGGCTGCTGACAGCAATAGCTGTGTCTCTGTCAAGGATCCTTGTCTGTTCCTCCCAGACGACCCTCCTTTGGTCTCTGTGCAACCAACCACTGAGAGTCCCCAGCTCATCAGGGTTTAAAGAAGTTACTTAGTCTGATGCAAATCAAACAGGCCATCCCCTTGTTTCATGGCACTCTAAGGACTTGAATCAAGATATTTTAAAAAAATAGACAAAGAACTGCTTAGAAAACCTCAGGGAAAATTGCTCACATAGATTTAATCCAATCTTTGCTCTCTGTGAACCATCCCAGACGCCGTGGTCATACATCCTTGCTGCTCACATGTTTTGGCTCAGAGTATGTTTGGTTTCCAGTTCATACCATTTGTAATTTTGGCAGAACTAAAATAAAGCCAAAAAGCTGAAAAATGCACCAGAAAATTAAAGTGCCATGATCTTATCTTTGCTGCTTATCCTTCATCACGAAAGCACATACAAAAGACACAGCCCGGTATAAATGGTGGATAACAGAAGGGGAAAATCATTCAGCTGAACCTCCAGAAGATGAAAGAAATGGAAGAAACTGCAAACTCGTAGTTTCAGAATATGGAAGAGGGTGGCAGAGTGACAGATTCACCAAAATAAAGATTGCTTCTTCATATCAGAAGATGTAGCCCTACAGGATTCAGGAGTGCTTCAAAAAGGAATATGATTACAAGAGTCAAGACAGAATTAACATCTTCAGAGGGCTGGGCTGCATGAAGAAAATGACCTCCAGAAGAGAACACACAACGGTGCTTTATGTTCACAGAAGTAGAGAGACTCTGAGAGGTAATGGATAATTATAAAGTAGGGGAAAAAGAGCACAACTCCCTGCTGGAAGAATGAACCAATGTCAGAGACAGAGATGGGGTGGCCGCAAAGGTGTGGGGACTGTAGCTGCAGACCTGAGCTAACTCCTGGGTGCTGTACAGGGGGCCGAGGTGCTGCCTCTCTCAAGGTGATGTTCACCCAGACCAAAGGCAAGATGGGTCCAAGCCTGAGGCTGGAGTCCAGGAAGGATGTCAAATCCATTCAAGTCGTCTCAAGCTAAACATCTGAATCATCCCTCTCTACAAAAAAAAAAAAAAAAAAAAAAGTTTCTAGGAAGAACCACAGTGAGCTTAGCATCTTACAGAAGGACGGGCTGACTTCAAAGGCACCTCTTTAGCTACAGGGTTAGTAAGATGAGCAAGCAGCTAAACAGCACATACTTTGTACACAGAACAGAACAAGAAACAGTGCCTGGTACCTCACATTCAAAGTGCCTGTCATTTTTAGGTGTCAGACACTCGGCTCGGGACTCTACAGCGAACATTTCAGCATTCAACTTAATCTGGACTACTCTAGAAGATCGGTATCCCCATGCCAGGATGGAGTCTCAGCGATTCTTAAACAACTTAGAACCCAAGGCACAAAACCATTCAGCAGAAAACTTGGACTTGGATCCAGGAAGTCCACCTCCAAAGTTGCGCTGTTTCTGCTGTGCCAAGTCTTGACACTCAGTGACACTGCAGAGCTGTGGTGATGCTTTCTGTGCCCTAAGGTGCCATGATAGCTACAAAATCAAGCAGACTTCCTAACTCCCACGCCTGTGGCAGCATCCTCAGAACATTTATTCCAGATTATAGTCTTGGTTATGTGGTAGTGTGGCCCCATCCACCACTGCTTCCTCAGCTCTTCTAATCAAATTCCAACATTTTCACACACTGGGCTCCAGTAACCTCAGGCCCCTGAGCAGGCAGATACAGGCATTCTGTTTGCAGCAGGAATGCACAGTCTGACACAGTGCCTTTCACAGGAGCTTGGTGTCTCCTATAGAATAGGAAGTTAGTAACAGAAAAGTCTAGGTTTTTATAATAGTGCTAAATATTGCTAAACAAACATTTATAATCCTTATTGCTGTATATATCAACTGGAGTGTAATGGTAGTCCAGTTGTAATTTATTCTTATAAATTGCTTGTCACCTTAGAAATACCAGAGCTCATCGTCTGGTGGTCTTTTGAAGTAATGAAAGCACATGATTTATGTCCTCAGGATGGCAAAGTACTTTGTTTTCACTTTTAAAAGGTGTATTTACGGACTTCACCATGAATCTTGATGTGACATAATAGTTCTTCACATAGCATCAACTACCACCCACACAGACATTCAGAGCAAACACAGACCCAAATTTAGCATCAGTGTCAT